AATGGAAACACTTTTGTCGCGTCTTCCTTCTCCTCTTTTAGACACGAAAATCCATGAAGATCAGCGCTGCTGACATTAGCACCAATTTTAGTACTAAATATAGCAGCAGCAGCAGCAGCAGCAGCAATAATCATAATAATATCAATAATAATGCAATAGTGGCACTAATAATATTAATAAAAATAAAATGTAACCAAATTCTACCTCCATCTCTTCCATAGAAAAAAAAAAAGAACGCTCATATTTTTTTAACATTACACTGGTCAATCAATCTAAAAAATACGAAAAAAAATATGATAATAATGGTGTTTCATAAATTTTTTTCACTTATTCATTTCCAATCCTTCAGCCTTATTTTCCTTTTTTTTTTAAAGTTACAATATTTTATACCGCTGAGTAAACATTAGTATTATCAGAATGCCAAAAAAAAAAAAAGCCTTTCCTTCCTTGGCTTCCCTTTCAACAGTCATCTGCTCCCTTCCCTTTAAAGCAATCAAAGCTTTCCGCTCTTTGAACAATTCTCCTCAACCCAATCCCACATTTCTCACCTCTTTCAAAACGAAAAAAAAAAATTAATCACTCACTGTCACTTAATGCTTACTTAAATCAGTTAAATTCTCCGAAAATAGAGAAAGATATAGAAATTTGTCCATATCCAAGATTAATGTAGCGTGATTCCGTCTAATCTGTGAAACAATGTCCAGTATTTTCCCTTTCAATGTTATGGGAGTAAACTAGGAAAAATTTGGTAGACTTTTCATAGTCATATTTAAAAAGCGCCCGAATAAATAAAAAATAAAAAAACTTTATTTTTTTTACATAAATAATTCAAACTTTTTTCACTGATTAACAGCAAAAAAAGGAAAAAAAAAATTCTAACAAAATTTTCAGACCTCATAATATGGGTGTTTGTTTTGCAACTTTTAAGAGTATCAACAATACTTCAGCCATAAACCATATTCGTCTGAACAATTACCTTTTTTACAACTGCCTTTTTAGTGCAATAACAAAATTTTTTTTTTCCTCTTTTCTTTCCATTAACAACTCATAGAAATTTAATGGAAATAATCTTTCTAAATGCAAAATTTGCTTGCTTAATGCACTGTTGACAAGTGGATAGGAGGAAAAAAAAAAAACCTAAATAAATTAAGTGCACTAAAGTGTCAGTGTTCCATCCAATTCTGCACCGTTTTTACCCTATTGCGTCCGTCCGTCCGTCCGTCCGTCTTCATTCGCTATTCTCTTCGCTGTTCCTTTTCAGAAAATCAAATAACTGCCCCTCAGAGAGAATTACTTATTATCAGCTATTATAGTGGGCCCCAAAAATTCCATCCATTTGCCACTATCAAAATTCATCAGTGAACACAAAATTTTTGATTGCTATCAGCAGAATATTCACTATACAACATTCAGCAGTCTCAGTTATGAAAACAAAAGCAACAACAGTATTTTACCTAAAAAAAAAAGAACCTTTTTTTGCGATAAACAATGACTTATTGATTTTAACATTTGTTTTCACAGCTTTCAGCTCATCTGATTCATTGATTAATAAATACTTTCTGTGTTTCATCAATTGTCATCCAACATCAACAAATCCGAATTC